GCACAATGCCGCCCCGAGCGCCTCTGCCGGCGACGGCGCCCAGGATGTAGCCGAGGGGCCGCGACGAGGATTCAGAGAAAACCAGGGGGAGAGTAAACAGCAAAATGGGTAGGTGGGATTTTTTTTTGCTGTGAGGGTCTTTCCTCGCAGGAAAAAAGCTGGGCTTGTTTAAGGGCTAAGTAAAACACAGCTTGGAGGAGTTGTTTAAATCTCAGAAGCAAATCTCTGAGGAAGGACTCGCATCTTAAAAAGGATGCCTCCAAGTGCCAAGCCAGACTTTCAGTGATGATTTTTCACACTGAGGAGTGACTTTATATCAATTTATAGAGTGTCACAGCTAAATTGAATCAGGACCACAAAATGCTTTACATGATTGGTTGTATCACGATGGGTTCTGGACCTTACAACAAGCCCGGTATTAATTTTGATGTCTGTGTCTTACTGTGTATTTTGACTCCTGATACGGTGACTGAAAGCAGCAGGCACTCAAAAATGCAGAGCAGTGTGTCAAGAAGGGTCGCTGGGTGTTGCGATGGCCAGGAATGAGATGCTCTGAAAGACCAACCGTGGCCCTGGCAGGACTGGTGAAGAAAGGTCCCAGGAGGAAGGCAAAGGAACAGGTGTTGCATTACTTCTCTGCACAATGCATGGGAAACTAAGGTGTGTGCAAGAAAGCTGCGGGGTTGAGCAGATTTTTTTGTGGCATTATAATGTAAATACCTCAACTTCAAATGTTGCCTCTGCCCTAAAAAGGCAACGCAGAATTAAAATTTGAGTCATTTCCATATTAAAATAACTGTTTATGTTAAAGTGGATATCGGAGCCCTAGTGTTTAAGTGACTGTAAGGCAGCATAAAAGGATTATATTATATCAGGTGTAGCATGTAAACAATAGATTAGTAAATTAAACTGAGCCCAGCAGCAATGCTGGGCACTCGGACCTGCACCACTACCCTGTTTCGGCAGTGCGCTTTTGGCCAGGGCCTCCTCAGGCTCTTCCAGAAATTCCTGGGCAGGGCTTGGGAGCTGCAGCACCCTGGGGACCGGTTCCCAGTGGCTTCTGTGCCGCAGGGAGAGGAGGAGGCTGGGTGCGAGTGGTCCCATGCCAGTTGGCCTCCCTCCCCAGCAGCAGTGTCCAGCGGATAGAGTTAAGTAGTAAAAAGGGCAGGAGGGGAACTGTAGGTTTCTCTTGGATCTTAGGAATGTAAAACCTGGGCTTAAAACCTAAAAGCTGTGGTTACTCTTTCCCATCCCTCAAAGGAAAGGGGCTAGAGGAATAGAAATGGTGCCTCTCTCCTCTCTGATATTTTCGCAGTGTGTGAAGAACCCTACAGAATGGTAAACATCTACGTCAACTAAAGTACAGAATAAATTGCAGTTTCGGACAAGCTTCGCGTGGAGGGGGGAAAACTTCCTTAGGTACCTATTCCCTTTATATTGCAGTACGAATATTTTCCATATGTGGACTCGCATAATGGAGTCCATATGTATTTTATATCACACCGTTGTCATGGTAACTTCCAGCCCTTTCTTAAACAGCTGGTGGCAGGAGTCCACACTGCATAGAAGCAGGATGAAATCTGGAGATCCCAAGGATTTGCTCTCAGTGCTGGTAGACTTGTTGAATACACATTGGCAAACTGTCTCTATCTTTCCAGGAATGCTGTTTTAGCAAATCCTGTGCAAGGAGTACTCAAAAGCAGCAATTAGTACTGAAAAAGAAGTACAATAGCAACAAAATTAAGTCTCCTGGAAGGAAGTGCTGCAGGCGTAGAGTAAGCACTTGACAATCAAGATAGGATGACTGGGCGAGCGCTGTTCCACAGTTAGGGGCTGAATAATACCGACTGAAGAGTATCGCAGCTGACAAGTGAAGAAATCCCTGTCTCCTTGCCAACCTTGCAGATCTAGTTTGGGAAAGCTTGAAAACATTTAGAGCTGTAAAAAGCTACTATATTTTGCTTTTTGCCATCTTTCTTACCATAGCGTGTTTGGGCTGTCTAACTGTCTTGCAGTCCTAAGGTAGGAAACAAAACCAAGCAAACAAAAACCCTGAAGTGACTATATTGGTCTGCTGCTACACTACTTACTTAGAAAAACTACATTTCTACAACGATGCTTAGCTGTCCCCCCATTTAAAGTGGAATCAATGGCATTTCTGAAATATCAGAAATGTTGAAGTTTAGCATAATTGATCAGTTCGAAAGAAATTCCATTTTGCTTCTGTGTTTTGTATTATTCCTTTTCTCAAAAAAAAAAAAAAGCAGCTTCTATCTTGTTCATAGATAGCACTGCTGAGCAAATGCAGTTCTTCAGATATGCTCCTTGTTGTATTCAGAATTTCCTCCCTTCCTCCTGGCTCCCCTCAAACCATATTCAAGATACAAACTATTTGCCTTCACTTCAGGATGGGGAAGGAAGTTTCGTTTCCCTTGTTTAGTCTTGGCTTAGAAAGCAAGCAATTTGCCTTCACTACACTGCATGCAATTATGCATTTATCAAGACCTTCTTGCCAACTCTTGCATGAAAATGTGCCTGCTGCTTAAAACAGGTAAGATGTTCACAGACTTCACTCAATTTAAGCTCAGCTGGGCTAAATTTTTCCCTTGTAGGTTCTCTTGATGATTGTAAGTTTGACTTACGTGATATATGGATTTACCAGAGATTGGATTTGGAAACTCCTGTAATATTTCAAAAATCAAAGAATGTATTAACACATCAAATGCTTTTTTTCCCTTGCAGATAACAACAGTGACAAAGTTAGTATCGACAGCACTGGAGTTGAATTATGGTCGTTTTTCCTGTTGGAATAACCAGCATGTATTCTTGTTTTGCAAAATTACAGCTCTTACAGAGCTTTATATTTAAATTTTGCAAAACAGCTTCAGCTTTTCTTAGTAACTTCTTAGCGTAGTAAATGGTTTTGTCTGCATTGGACATGATGTGATCTTGCTTTTCACTGTGTTAAATTTTGCAGCGTGCTTTTATGCCACAAAACGTTTGTGTGGTGTTTGTGTGTATTGATAAATACTTGGTGCGCCTATGGCTAATTGGTGTTAGTAATACAACTAGCAAATGGTGAATTACAGTATAAAAGCAAAAAATTATTTGAGGACTATGGAATGAAGGGCCAGATACAGAATTCGTGCAACAAAAGTAAGAGTAACGTCCATATACCGTGATTTGTATATGTTAGGGATGATAAATATGATCGAGGTTTTATTGTCTTTTTCTCCCCTTGCCTTGAGGCTGAGTTCTGGGACAGACTGTCTTGTTGGGTTTTCCTTTGTCTCTGGCACCACCTTGTTGCCTCAATGAGTCATTACCAGCAGACTCTTAAGCCCTAAAAAAGGGACCGGTAGGATCCACAACAAGAGAAGTCAGCAGGATGTTTTGTTTATAATACCACTTTCAACAAATGTGAAAGACTACTTATTTCGCTGTGGTAGTTGCTAGCATGCAGTCGACTGCATGTAAATAATTACATTTCCGTATAGTTCTACACCTTTAATTACTACTTTAATTTTCAGATTTTATTTTTGCTATTAACTGTTTTGATGCTTTACTTCATTTTTCTCTGTACTTCTCATACTCCATCCTGCAAATACCACTGGTTTTATTTCTATACCCCTCCCTCTTTTAGTAACCTTGATAGGTACGTGTATCTTACTAACACTGTGTGTCAGTAAATGCAATCTTTTGCTATCATTTTGTATGATACCTTTCACATCATTCTTTTAAGTATTAAATATTCTTTTAAGCTTAAGTATTTACTAATGCATTCCACTGAATGGGTGAATTCTTACTTGTTCATGATTAATATTTTATATCATTCGCATTCATATTTTCCACTGTTCTTTACCAGAAACACTTTGGACATTAAAAATATAGTGGGATGTGGTGGCAAAAATGGAAGTGACTTTTAAAGGGATTTTTTGGTAGAATTATTATGTCTTAGGAGCTAGTTTTTCACAGTTAATCTCCTGTAAAGTATGTAAAAATAAATGTATGTTTAAAGGGTCTGAAAGATTAATGCTCTAGGATAATGAGTGTAGGCTTCAGGAGTAATGCACATAGCATGAATCTTCTATTATTTATTCCTAAACTGATTAGTGCCGTTACAGGTTGTCTATATCAGTTACCAAAAGCAAAGTTTTAAACCCCTATATTCTTGCAAGTCTCTTAGCACAGGGATTGATAGCACATGAAGGCTACTGTGCGGAAAATTTCCCCACTTCTTTGACTTTCAGAGAGGGTGTGAAGCATCAATATCTTCCCGTTGTGCTCCAGAACGTCACCAGCTACGCTTTCTAATGGGCTGGTGCTGATCCAGGCTTTGCCAGCTGAAGACAACTTGGTGGTACTGGGTGGCCGATGCGCACAGCTAGTGCTTCGCCCCTTGTGAACGAAGGGGGAAATTTGTCTGGGGTACCTTATCTGAACTAGGTAGATGGCCCTGCTTTACCAGAACAAACAAATCCCCCTCTTATTCCTGTAAGGAAATTGCTGTGAGCTTAAATATGGGGGTTCTGCACGACGGTTTTGGTAGTAGAATGAGAATATCACTATTAATTGGGTTTCAGTGCCAAATTGAAATTAAGTTCACAAAACTTAATTCAATAGAATAATTATGTGCACTTCTGTTTCAACTTTCTGACTTTATTTCCTTTTTTTTCTTCTTTTTCTCCTTTTCCTGTTCATGCTGGGAACCTTTCTCTTGCTGTCTTACTCTGTCACCTCCAAGGAAAAACCCACCGAAACGGTAAAGGTTTTAACCTGTAAATGTCTCAATAATACTGTCTCTTACTGTTTCAAATGTTCCAGCAGTGAAATAAGGAAAAATGTTTCAGTCAAGTTAGAGTAATTATAAACCTGTGTTTGGTTCAGAGAACTGGATCTGTGTTCAGGTGTGCCTATAGAACTCACTGCTGCACATCTGCATCCAAACACAGAAGCTGCCTTTAAACACGGTGAAAAGTCACGGTTCTGCCCGTGTCTTTGTAGCTACCCCAACGCAGGTGGTCTCGGAAGCTTTTCGCTCACTGCTCTCTCCTCTCCTTGACGCAGCCCCCCGCGGAAGCACATTGTGGATACCTATACGGAGTTTTACCACACACCCACCCACAGCGATGCCAGCAAGAAGCGACTGATTGAAGACACTGAAGACTGGCATCCCCGGACAGGCACCACCCAGTCCCGCTCTTTCCGCATCCTTGCCCAAATCACCGGCACTGATCATAGTGAGTAGTTTGACGTAAACAAAATTAAAGTAATGGCCGCGGACAGATAGATGTTTTTAAAATATTTTTGTAAAACTCCTGCAATTGCTAAATAGCTCAGGACATACACATTACTGGACATCATTCCCGATTGAGTTGAATATTAATGCATTCTAGATAAATCTTAAAATTTCCATTTCTACTCCCAAAGATGTTGGCAAATATCTATTTGTTTTTTCATTCCCCTCCTGTATCATGGCGACATTCCTGTTCAAATTTAATGCTTCAGAAAGATTAAGATGTTTTCAGGCATGTAGAAAATCTTTGACAGTGATACAAAAGTATGTGATCTGCAATGATTTAACCAATCAGAAACATAAATCCATAGTTCCTCAGTTTATTCCCAGGGCATGTTTCCATCCTCTGCTTATGCTATAGTGTTGTGATTATATGTTCTGTGAACTAGAACAGATGATGCAGAGAAGGTCATTCCCAGTCATATAATTAATGATAAAACTTCAATTTCATATTATGCTGTCAGTTGTAATTCTTTGGCTGAGATCTGTAATGTTGTGTAAAAGCCATCAGAAGTGCCATCTGGAGATTTGAGCTCAGTCATATTGAGACTGAGGCAGCTGATGTAGCGGTGATTATTTCATTCTTCTGCTTTTCACAGCTAGTGCTACAATAAAGAAGGCAGTGAGAAAGTAGGACCCCGTCTCTGCGGGCAGATTTGATTAAATCAACTATCAGTTCTCTGGCAGAATTACTCTAGAAACTAATGATGACATAAGGATTATTGTCAATGTATGATAAATATTCTGAACTTGGACAGTTACCTGATTGTTTTGTGGTCCTGCATTGTGCTAGTCCATTAATGGATCATTGTCTATCTTTGGATTCTCTTCATTAATCCTTGTAAGGGCAGAATATGAGACCTGAACATCAACTAACATGTCATCCAGTACTGATGAATTCATCATGTCAACAAATGCTGTAAGAAAGTGTCTGCAACTAGATTTGCCAAACTTAGTCAGGGCTGGGAACTGACATTATCTCATGTGCAGTCCTCTAGCACCTTGATGGGTCACAGCCTGGCTGCAGACAGACAGTTGGATTATCACCCGATATAAACCCACTGGATATTCGTCCAAAAGAAGTGCCTCCCAATTTCCATTCACCTTCTCCTTCTCAACTCGTCTTTCTCAATGCTAATGTGGAGCGTGGGCCAAAGGAGAGGGCAGAGACCAGCAGAGCCACCTTTCAGCAATCCTGCTGGCAAAGGGGCTCTTGAAGGTTATAGACATACCCCATTTCCATCGGGGCATATTTGGAATCGATGAGTCCTAATGAGCCTTGTTGTAATTTCCTGCTGTGGTGAATGCATTGGCACAGGAGAGGATCTCAGTGTGCAGTGGTACAGTGCCTTTACCGCCTTAGAAAATAAAATTTTTCTGCTTTCTTACAGTGAAAGAACCAGAACATGAAGCTGCGAAGAAGACTAAGTGAGTTGATGTTTTACGTTTATATTACTTTAATATTTTGCATGTCTTAATTCTTAACTGTGATAGCGTTTGGTGCATTTGTGTGACATCTGGGTGTTTTTAAAATGTTGCTGCTTTTTTTGCCTTCTACTTCAGCATGTGAAAATCAAGATAAAAATCAAAATATTTCCTTATAGACCAACCTTTTTAAATCTGTTGGTGCAGTCCAGTGTTAATGTTTGTGCAGGAGTTTGAGATGTTCCATAAACTTGGACTGGTTTGGTTTTCTGTGCGAGGTCAGTTTGTCGATGTGTTTTTCTTTCCCTAAATCTAACCAGGCATTTTTGATTTGCGGGCGTGGATGAGATTGAAGGGCATAGCTGGAAGGTATTACCATTCTGGACTGCGAACAAGGGTCAGCTGTCTCCTTGCTGTGGGATAAGCGTTGTTCAAAAGGGGGAGCAAGCAGCGGCTAAATCAAACGGTTCTTGCAGTCGGTGGCAGTTTTTCTACTGACTTTGCCTAACACGGGATCCAAGTTTTTGACAGAGAGGAAAGCAATGTGCAGATAGGAATAGTGCATGGAGATTGCATGCTCGCTTGTGAAACTGCTTAAGACAAACTCTCTTTCTCTTCCTTATTTTTTCTTCTATCGCTTCTTTCCACAGGGAAAAGGTTCCCATCCACGTCTTTAGCCCCAAATATACAAAATTACGTGACTGGCACCACGAAGTCTCAGCACGTGTTCTTAATGTCCAGTGATTTTACCCAAGTTGCAAAAGCAAAATGCAAACACTTAAACACTTCCTTCCTTTCTTCTTTTTCATCTGCTTTGCAAAAAAAAAAAAAACCCCACAAAAAACCCTTTCACTAGCCTTACTGCGAGAGAAATTCTAGCCTTTTCTATACTTTTCTAACACTTTCCTACTGATGTGTAAAAAATGAGATGAAAATGTTTTTGTGCTAATCACTAGTTGATAAAACATACATATTTAAAACAGAACAACTTGGGTGACTGAATCTCCCAGTGCGGGGGAGGCGATGGCTGTTGCAGCTCTTTTTTTGCCTTAAAGGAGTCATTTGCATTGCTGAGTTTGAGTTACTGTAGGTTTTTAGAAAGCAGAAAATTATGAACAAAAGAATAAGAAATTACATTAGTTTGATTTTTGGGGCTGAGGAAAGAAGACGAAGAGGGACTGTATGCACTTATTTCAAACTCTTGTACTTACCAGGGTAATTATCTTGGATTTCACTAGACTTTTCAGTAGGTCAGTTTTAGAGTGGTTGTAAATGTTTTACAAAGTAGAGCAAGAAGACAGACTACTTCCAAGCAATTAAAAAATAAAATATATTTCTAATGTTGCAAATCAAAGTGCAAGCTCACTATAAAGATTCTGCTGCTTAAACTAGTAATATGTTCATATTGTGGAAAAGTTAGAAAAAAATTGAGCAGAATGTTGCTGTGTACCTGTAAGAGCTTCAACACACATCCTCTAACAAGAACAAGATAAGACGGTAGTATTTATTTATTTCCGAGTGAAACTCATAGGCTTTCTTGTGTTTATAAAAGCTTCATGGCCCTATGGTTCTCCTGTAAAATAATGTATTATAGTAGCTACACATTCATTAATTTATGCTTTCTGGAGCTTGAAGAGTATTTTAATAAAAGTTGCTTTTATCTTAGCTCTGTCTGTTTTTCTTCCGAGTCTCTCTGACTCCTTGAATAGTCTTCTCATGCACGGAGCTGTAACTTCATTGCACCTTCACAGATTATAGTAAGAGAAACAATCTGAGTTATACAAAGCTATCACAGTAGTTCCTGATCACGTTAAAAATGCGGTGTGTGTTTGTGGTGTCAAAATCGACATGAGACTTGCTTGCGGAAATCAATAAAATGATTGACCTTTGCGGGGGGCTGCAGGAGTAAGAATTCTACTAAGTAGAGCTCGCTCTCAGCTTTTTCAATGTTTATTGAGTCACAGAAGTTTCAAAGCTCAAAGGTGAACTGTAAAGCACATATAAAAGCCCAGTCTTTCCTAATTGCTTAATGTGAACTGTTGCAATTGGCTTGTAGCTTGTGCAGCTGACCTACGCGCTTTTCTGATGGAATTGGTCCTGTGAACAGATCGATGTCCACTGCAAACACTTCTGCAGTATGGGGG